CGCCCCACTCGCCCCACTTGCCCCAGTCGCCCTACTCGCCCCACTCGACCCACTTGTTGCCCCACTTGCCCCACTTGACCCACTTACCCCACTTGCCCCCATTGCCCACTTGCCCCACTTAACCCACTTGCCCCAGTTGCCCCACTCGCCCCACTTGCCCCCCCCCCCACTTGCCCCACTTGAACCACTTGACCCACTTGCCCAAGTGGCCCTTCTCGGTCAAGTGGGTCAAGTGGAGCAAGCGGGGCGAGTGGGGCAAGTGTGTCAAGTGGGTCAAGTGGGGCAGCGGGGGCAAGTGGGGCGAGTGGGGCAACTGGGGCAAGTGGGTCAAGCGGGCAAGTGGGGCAAGTTGGGCAAGTGGGGCAAGTGGGGCGAGTGGGGCAAGTGGGTCAAGTGGGGCAGCGGGGGCAAGCGGGGCAAGTGGGGCGAGTGGGGCAAGTGGGGCAAGTGGGACGGACGCCTTTAATGTTGCCCCCCTGCGGTCGCAATGAAATATGCTGTGAGATGCTGCCCCCCAAGACATATATGAAAGGATTCATGAAGTTGTTGCAAGGGCCCGTAATCTGAACATAAAAGACCTGGCACCAGGAATTCAGCAGAAAACGTCCTTCAGAACACTGTCAAATACTGTGTTGTAGCGTTCCATAAACCAACCATAGCAGTTAGATAATTCACTATGTTTAGCGGGGCTTCCAAAAATCATTCATGCATCGTTTGAAGTTAAGAGATGGGATCCTGGTTGAACCCACTTACTGTCTTCACATTTTAGATACAAAGAAGCTATCAACTACATAGTTCATATTTGGGGGAAGGCCTTTTAAAAACTTGATCGATTGAGTATGAAATTCTAATAGCCATGTTGGTTGTGTTATGGGAGGTTTCCATCTGTATATGAACATGATCAGCGAGGATATTTACAGCTCAAACAAGCGAGGTTATCTCAACATATCCTGTTAGTCAGGGTGTTGGTCCCCTGGCCATCTCCATAAACGCATGACCTATTGGTAGGAGCACCCCCCCCAACCCAATGTATTTGAATTGGTATAGTAATTCCTTAACACGATTGCCACAACTAGTGCATTATCTTCCTGACTCGCCCCTTAGTTGCATATGTTTATACTATTTAGTGTGACTACTTGTGTTGTGCTTGGTGTAGTTGCCACATTATTTGCATAGCAAGCTGGCGAGAAGTTTCTCCGATATGGTCAACGTAGCCATCATAGTATACATATACATATATATATGTATATATATTGGTGGGTGATGTTCATTCTTGTGGGAAGGCCCCACCTATTACAATTGTAATAGGCAAAATAAGTTGTCCTATGCTGTTCATGCACCTAGTTATATACTGTATGACGGGAACACATACTCAGCATTTTGGGAAGGTTTCGCCTAATATGTAAGGAAATACCAATGAAATACACTTTGAAGAAGTACTAGAATGACTACAAGCTCCTTAATTGATACATATTAAAGTATGGAAACTGATATCATATCATGAACCTAATGAGAAGAATCTTTTTAAGATGTCAGAAAGCTTCCCGTAATATTCCAAATAAGCATCAGGATTCATAAATTTATGGCAGAGGCAGTGTAAGATAATATAGACAAGAGCTATGGCCATCTATGGAAGGAATGAGGTACATCATGTGTTATGTAAGGGGCTCTACATGGAAAAGGTTGTCAGGGCCACATAGAGGCTCTTGAACAAATATGTTGATACATATGACTTTCCTGATTTATTATGCTGGCTTTAGATGACTATGTGGCTATGTGTGATAAGTGTATGAGGGTTCACGCATGAGATTTCATTCGGGCTCATCGGCATTCTACAGGTTACTGACAATAATTCGACGTCTAGACGTGATGATGATGAAATGACATCCTTTCTGGCAAGCCTCACCTCTAAATCTCCATGTCCGACAAAGTTCTTGTCTAAGCAGGACCAAGCTTCACGTTCTTAGGGAGTGCAGTCGAACTCAGGGCACATGATTTCCAAGCTGTGCAATTAAGATGCAAAGAGCTGCTGCGCTCAATCACTGCCTGAGAACCTGGTGCGGGAAAAAGAAAAGTTCTAGACTTTCTTGAGGTACGTTACTGGGCGTCCCCTGTGACATGGTTGGGGGAGGAGTCTGTGCTGGTGCATCTGCAATAGAAAACTTCAAAACTTCATGCAACCCCTGGAATAAAAAAAACTTGGACAATTTCACGCAAACAAAAACATGACTCGGTTGCCTGACATTAATCCAGAATGCATGCAATATGATGCAATGCTTGCCGTATGTATAGCAGAAAACACAAACATGAGCTAGACTTCGCTTATGCTGTTCCCTTGCTATCTGTTACGCATGACTGCAGCAATTGCTCAAAACTGACCAGCTGCACCAAGCGTCCACTGAGTCGTCGAGAAGAGACACCTGCTCATCAAAGCCTTGCAAGGCAAGGCGGCAGGATGCAAAATGCCGTGCAACCAGATGCCCCCTCGAGTTGTCTTGCTGAGGCCAAGTCTTGGTGACGCCTTGCAGCAGAGGAGAAGTTGACCGTGTTTTTTGGCATGCAAATGTCAAAGCTGGAGGAAAACAAGTACGAGACGGTGCGAGTACGTCTGCATGGGCGTACCCACTCGTCCACAAGACGAAGAAGATTCCAAGTAAGCTTTGGGAGAGGCATCGAGAAAACGTCCTCCATTCAGCCAAGGGCCTTATACAAAGAGAAGCTGGACTCTTCACTAGTCGAAACCGTGATTGTGTGTTTATGGCGCCCTTTCTGCCAAAAAATACATTGCCCAACCTGCCTGCAGTGCAGGTGGTGCTTCGCCATCTACTGTAAAGGTAGTCTGCCTCGGTTAGCACGGACTGTGCAACAAAACGGCTTCAGACAGCTGCCCTTCTGCTTCATGCACAGCGATGATCGGCGATGTCTGGCTGAAAGGAAGTCTCACATGGCTGGCAAGCGGCAACAACAGCATGTTCACGTCGCTGGCTGTGCATGCGCTCTCCTGGTAAGCATTTTGGCGTTTGAGTTGCTTTGGGGCCCTTTGCGAAACAGTAAGCACAAGTTCCGGTTGCAACAGCCCACGAGCGCTTGCAAATACCTATCTCTAGTTCTGGTTGCTGCTGTCAACACACACGTACACACGGACTTTACCCTGCATCCTGGGATTTCAGGTGGTGGAAGATCTCCTCCATCCACCCCCTAACTTGTGTACCACTCGGCTTACAGATCCAATTAGACATAGCGGCAATTGGCAAGCAGGCCAAATCCGAATGCAAAACTGACTTGCGCAAAACTACTTGCAATGTCCGTCTCCAGGCCAGTCGGGTCTTGTGCAACGCATACCTCAAGATCAAGTCATGCCATCAGTGCAGAGTCGTACTATGTAAAGCCTTGCAGTCAAGCCGCGTTGACAACGATGGCAAGCCAGGCAGCGCCCCTCACACGGCCCTGTGCGCCAGCACAAGAATAGTATGCCATGCTAACTTATCAAGGCGTTGGTCAGAAACGTGCTCATTGTTTATGCATCGTGTCTGTGTAAACTTATATGGTAGTCTGTGAGAATGTGATGGGAGATGCACTATCTTTCACATTTTCCGTGATCTATGTTAAAATGACATTCCCACCCTCAACGCAAGCATTGAGGTTTTGCTAACGGACTTTCAGGTTCATGCTGAAAACAACAGGAGCGAAAACGCAAACCTTAGCAACGAGAGAGAATCGTAAGTCAACATGTTTACACCTTTGAAATCCGTAAGCACCCAGCGATGGGAGTCTTCATGGCGCAGAAGGAGGCGGTGGCAGCTCTCAACTTGTCAGGCTGGAAAAGCTTAATTTGGGGATCTCAACATTCCCGGCCGGCAACATGAAGAACATGCAGGGTCATAAAAGCTTCCAAGTAAGAGCCACCACCCAGTTCAGTTCGGTTAGTCGTTTGCACTCGACATGGAGCGGCTGCGCAGATGGTGCGGCATATCTGAAACATTCAGCAGCCTTGGTGTTAGTCAGTCTTGCTTCCAACGCATTCTTGCTGGCTACTTTTGAAAGAATCTTCAGCTTCCATTTTGGCCTAAATTCGCAACTCACTCCATCAAGGTGAAACGTTCGTCTCCCAATCAGTCATTCTCAAGGGTGCCTTGAAGGTTCATGTGCATGCGGTGCATGCTGCGCAGGAGGTGACTGAGCGACTGGCTACCTCCATGGCCTTTGCCTTCAGAACAGGATCTTTGTACGACCTCAGATCTGCTACGCCAAGTACTCAACTTTGCCAGCTGAAATCGATCATGCTGAGGCATCCGCTCAAAAAAAGCTTTGTGCGAAACCAAAGAGTAGGGGAAGACCGTATGCCCGTCGCGAGTCTGCCCAGGGCTTTTGGTTTGCGGTTTGCGCATGCAAACAGCCTCACAAGCACGAAGCACGAAGCTCTTAGCTGGGCTGCGGGCCTTCCTTTGAAGCCAATTGTACCCTGGTGGTATGACCTCTCAGGAAAAACAACCTCCAAAAGTGACGAAAGGCTGCCTCCTCTTCTTCGTCGCGGCTTCGAGCGCCTCCTCTTCTTCCCATCCTTCGCTTAGCGAAGCTCGTTGAGTGCCTGACGGAGACGAAGGATTTAGGGAAAACACTCCCTATGCGCTCAGAACACACATCGGCTTCCGCCCCATCGTTTAGAAGCCTGCTAAAGCAAGTGCCTGATAGGAAAGAAGCTAAAGCAGACTCTAGCCCTCTGCATCAGAAACAGAGTTTAATGCAAAGAAACGCGGCCGTCAACTCATGGAGAAGTGGTAGCATGCCTGGTCAAAGAATGCCAAAACATGAAGTCAGGCACAAACAGAACGCCTACAGTCCCTCAACACATCAGCAACGGATCTGTAAAGTTGCAAGTGTGCAGTGTTGCCCAGCCAACAAACAAAACCACAGCTAGCAGCAAAGCATGAAATCGCACAGGCAACTCAGAAGAGTTGGGTTCGTAGACGTTGTCACCCCCCAAGTCGATCTGCAAAACGATTTGTTTTGTGTACACCGTCGAACTGCAACGCTTGGGAGCAATCACAAGGACCGAGTCGATGTCGAACACATGCTGAATCTACATCAGTAGGAGCTGAATGCAATGATATCCAAATTGCGGTAGTGGCGGGGAACAAACTACCAGCATATTGGCTTTCAATCATGATGGGCAAGAGCCTGTAGAGTCCCAAGTCGATGCCAGATGTATCCCCTATGGATATAAGCTCGCCACATGATGGAATCTTATTCCGCGCAGCCCCATCTGGTCAATCCTTACGAGACCAGGAGCGCTACTTCCAGCAATGAGAGAACCGCGCCATGAAGTGACTGAAAACGAAGAAGAAGATCATTTGGACTTTGAAAACAAGCTAGAAACCTCAAGGCGTCTTCCGTCTTACATCTGATTTCGTGTAGGCAACTCCCTGGAGCTGAACTAAAGAAGTTCTCGACGAGAAGTGTTGAAGCATGCCAAGCGTTGCAGGAGGCTCATGACATGCGACATGTTCAACAACCCGAATGCTTGGTGTGTTGCAGTGGTCCTGCCTGGCAGACTGACTGTGGGCTTTGGTGGTGGAGCAATGCTGTTCCTGAGCACATACATGCAGCAGAGTACGCAAGCATACGTACAGTCTGCCTCCAATACCCTTGAGCACCCTGCCAGTACTCCGGAAAATTGGAAGCCATCATGGGAACGCTCCACTTCGGCCCGAAGGGGTCACTGCATTCAGAGACCAGAAAGAACAGAAGGCCAGTACTGCCCGTGAGCAAACTATGGAAGCAGCATGTTTGCCTTGGCTTCCGAACGAGTCGGCGCGCGGGACGCTGGGATTCCGTAAAAGCATGCAGCCGCCTGGGTGGCACACAGGTGCGATACGCAAAAAACTCCTACTGACTCTTCCCATTGGGCCTGCTGGCAGAATTAAAAGCACAGCTAATAAGGTTATGCAGCAGCGAACC